CGTCGTACGTAGTACTACTAACTAACGTAGGTGGTCGTCGTACTTTACGTTAGTTAGTAAGTACGACACTACTACTACTACTCTCTCTCTCTCTCTCTCTATATATATATATATATATATATATATATATATATATATACCATTATTTATTGTTTGGCGCAAATCCCACTCAAGCCTCTCAGCTAGGTCCATGCTCCTTTCTCACACTGCGTTCATGGAATTACTTCCATTATTTAGTGTTTTGCTCAAAACCACATTCAAGCCTTTTGATACATATTTTTTGACATCAAATTCAACGATTTGGGCTATGCTTCATCAATGTATTCATTATTCAAGGATGATGAGACTCTCTCTCCCCTCTAAAAGTATTTTTTATTCAAAGATGATGGAAGTCTCTCCCTCTCTGAATGCAGTGTGAGAAAGAAGCATGGACGCACGTGTTGTGCCGTATTGGGCCCTTCAAATTTTGACATGAACTCAGCTGAATCACTGAAAGTGATGAGCTGGTCACAACATATTTTACTAAGATGCTGCCTCACTTTCTCTCTCTAGATTTACTAAGCATAAAAATTCCAAACCCCAACATTTTGAATCTAGAACCTTCTCTCTCTAGAGCTCAGATAAGGGAGAGAGGCGAGAGAGAGACTGAGGGTAGGTTTGGGGTAGAGAGAAATAGATGAGTGTGTCCTTACAAGATTTGTTTAGGGCAAATAAGTTGCATAAATGACTTACACGTGGGTAAAAACTGTTTAGGGGTTTGAAATAGATGAGTGTGTCATTTTTCTATTTTACTCTTTCCGTTTATTTTTTCCATTTTCGGCTGTATTTCGAACTTTTTCCAAATCTCTCCCCCTTCTACTCCCGATTTCTTAAAATCTTTGTACAAGTTTTATGCTTAGAGCGAGCGAGGGTCCTCTGGCTTGACCCTCGCCCCGATTGCAATTCAGTGGGACCCATTCTTTACCATTCCCACTCTGCAACGAGTTTAGGCCCGAAACCAGGCCGGGACCCAGTCCTGACCGAAATTTTCGAGTATAAACAATATTATCATTAAAATTTCTTTTTTAAAGTGTAGCTTTTATCCTAGGTATCTTATTTCCAAATGGTTAAGCCATCTCTCTCTTTCTCTCTCTCTCTCTCTCTCATACACACACACACTCGTCTGTGTGCTTGTGCATTGCTCATGTTTCATTCTATTTACAACATAAATGTGGAAACTTTGAAGTTTTGCGGCTGTAAGACCCATCATAGCCCATTATGCCCAATAATCATGCTGATACTAAATGATGCCTAAACATGTCTTTCTTTATATGTTTTTCAGGTCTAGTGGAGTACAGTACAAGAAACACTTCTGGGGCTGCATACCAATTTAAGAAGAACAACAAAATTTCTAATACTGCATTGAACATCGTAGCTAGTATGAAACGAGATTGGTTGCAGGTGACTCGTTTTTTGCATCTTATGAAGCTAGAGTTTATTTTTACATTTCATTCTCAAGTTCTTAAAGTTTCAATGTTGAGGCTTAAGATCTCTTTGTTTTTGAAGATACTTCCTATCTTACTACTTGCAGACAGGGAGAAAACCAAGTGGATTATGTGGTGCTGCATTGTATATCGCTGCAAACTCTTATGGCATCAAATGTTCAAAATCAGATGTTGTAAGTTCATCTTTATTTGATTTCTAGTGCGGTTCTAATCTAGATGGTTTGCTGTCATGTGGATGTTATTGTCATTATTTTGCTGTGCATTCTAAACTTCAAGGCATCCATTTTTCTTGGTAAGTGATAGTTTTATTCATTTCAAAGAGGTGAAAGTACAGGCTATATGGAGAATATTCCTGTGGAAGAAGGAAATAAAAATTCCCATGTTTCTCTCCCAGATTTTTCCATGCTATCTGCTAATGACTTTTCCACAATTTTTCTCTATAATTTTTTAATAATGTGCACTTATGCTGACTCTTTTGGTTCTGATTGGATTGGCATGGTTTTTATGCCTCATTTGATTTATTAGACATTCTATGTATATAAGAAAATTTATCAAAATGCACCTAAGTGATGAACAATATAACATTTTACCCATTTCTTTTAATTTAATTTCAAAAAGCCCTTCACACATGATCATTAGGTGGAATAATTTAAAATGGGTAAAATGTAGGTGCATTACTTCATTACTTGCATGCTTTTTCAGAAGATTGTGTATGTATATGCTTGTAACTGGCAACACGCATATGTATGCATGTATGAATGTAGAAACACATGTATGTATGCATGTATGAATGTAGAAACACATGTATGTATGCATGAATGAATGTATTTGAGTGCCGGACCCCATACTATTAAGATATAGTTGCTTCTCATTTCCTGCTAATCTGCTTTCCTTCCTACTCCGTTCCATGCCACGAACTATTTATCAGAGCAATCCTTGAGAAACCAAAATTTACATCAAAGTGAGTGGTTAATTTTCTACTTCTCTATGTAAGCTACTGAGCCTAGTGTTTGCACCCTTAGATGTTTCTTGTTTTTGTGTATAACTTAGCATAAACATAGGTCTCATTGTTTTGTTGTTGTTGTTGTCGTGTGTGTGTGTGTGTTTTGTTTGTTTTTTTTTTGGTTGGTGGGGATGGTGGTGGTGGTTTGGTTTGCAAGCAGTTAAATCAGTAAACAACACATAGTCATTGTCTCTTTGTTTTAGTTTACTCTCATGATTGTTTCCTTTTATTCAATACTCATGGCTAATATGCATGTGTGCTGCAAAATTTCATCAGATAAGAGTTGTACATATTTGCGAGGCAACATTGACAAAACGACTTATCGAGTTTGAGAATACAGAGTCAGGAAGCTTAACGGTATACTTCTTGTGCGGAATTACCAATGACCTTATCTGAAATTCAATGTTTTCCTTTTTTTTTTCTTGATTTTGTTTTTATGCGTAATTTCTTGGGCATTACTTTTGGAACAAAGTGTTGAGATACTAAAGTGCCGTTTCCATGAAGATAAGTGAACATCATGCACTGAAAATTAGGAGTCTTTCGGTTCTCTAGAATATTGGTGGGCACAATATGGCCTGGTCCAAGTTCCAAGAAACACATATTTTTTGAATTTTCATCTTTCTGCATTTTATCAACAACAACAGTTTGCAACAATCTGTGGAAAATCGTCAAAGTCCACCTTCTAAAGAAAACTATTGCCAATCTGACTTCTATTCTGGAGCTCTCTTCATTGTAGGTAGGCTGAAATGCTTATCTCCATGTGGAATCACAGCAGACTCTCTTTTATCATTGTTACGAGACACCTGAAGATTCAATCTCCACTTGTGATGTATTCTTCCCAGTCAAAATGTTTGAAGCCCTAATTTCCATATATGTAGTATAACACCTCAAGGGTCTTTTTTCTGAAGTTGTTGTTGTTTTTCACCCCTGAATTCGGTGCCAACCATTATTGGATTCCATCTCATGTGTTAGGAGGGACTTTTTATTTCTAATGCTTTTCTGAGTTGAGCTTCAAAGTGTCAAGTTACTAGTGTGGTATATTAGTGTCATAAGCCGATACAATTATCCTTGCCTACAACAAAACTGCTGAACTTACTGCCGTACAGACTGCAAATCATCTCGATGCTCTAGATGGAAGAAGTCAACTAAAATTTATTATGAAGTAAACACGATTACTGATAAGTTTAGTGTTAAGACATCCAAAATCGTGGCTCCGTTACAGAAGTCTATCCAAAATTCGAAATAAGACATAATTGCCTTCAACTTAGCTGTTTCTTTTATAAGTTTATTCGCTTCCAAAAAAATTGCTCTGTAAGGTAGTTCTTATGCCCGGATTCCTAAATTATTGGTTTTACTTCTGGGTATAACCTTGTAAAAATTAAAATATTTGAACCTAGCTTGTCTCTTTGTGCATCATGTCATTTATTTTCCTATTGTCCATAGCTTGAGGAGTTCAATACCATGGCTGAGGAGCTTAGGTTTTCATGTCCACCACCAATTCCCAAGAAAAATGAAATGTCAGATGTGCTTTGTGAACACAAAGGTAGTGGATTGCCACATTTTGCTCATGGACTTTGTGAAGAATGCTATCATGAGGTAAAATCATGCTTTTTGTGACATTCCATTTTATTCATCACTTCATTTAATCTTTTTTGGTGAGTAAATTGCTGAATTCTCTGAAAATTTTCTACTTGGTTACATATATGTCTTATCCTTATTTTTTATGCAGTTTTGGAATATCTCTGGAGGTATTCAGGGAGGGTCTGAACCTCCTGCTTTCCAGCGTGCTGAACAACAACGAATGGCTAATGGAAGTGCTGATGCTAGGGATAAGGAGTCAGATGTCCATATCATGGATTCTGAAAGAGATATCATGCATCTCCTTGTATGTGTAACTGGCAATTTTGCATCCCAGGGCAATGTCGCATACATTTCTTACTGGGGTGTGCTAACATATACAGCTTTGCATATTAGCAATCAAATTATCCTGACAAAGTTAACATAAGGATTGGAAGCTTGGCACTGAAAATGAGATGATCAATTTGTAGATTTATGCACTTTCCTGATAAATAGTTTCCAAATACCAAGGGCGATTACATAATTAAATAACCATATTATGTATGAGGATAGAATACTCGAATGTCTGGGTGCCAAATGTTGGGGTCTTGCTAGATTTTCTTCTTCTTGTGATTCTTTTCTAGTAAAAGCGAAATGCTAAATTGTTCATCTCATGTTTAAGGTTTTGAGGCAGAATAGCATCAGGAATGAGATGTGTTTTCAGGTGTTGGGCTTCTAATGAAGTGTTTTTGGGCCAGGGTTTTGGGGGGCTCGTGTCAATGAGAACATGTAGATTCACGTAGAACTCTTTCAGGCAAGATTTTCTTCAGGTGTAGGTATGAGATAGTAGGTTGGAATCCATCCTCCTAGTTTCTTAGGTTTTCTTTTTTATAGGGTTTTTTTCTACTGTGGTCAATAGGTTATTCAGTGGGTGATTTCAATTATGGGATGCTTTCAGGCTTCACCTGGGGGCCAATGGAGTTGGTTCTGAGTTTTAATTGGAAATGTTTGGAGAGGGTTCCTTTGATCTAATGACTAGAACCTTTTTATGTACGGGATTTGTTTGTCGAGTGTACTGTAGCTATCTTGGTATAACTTTCACTATTTACATCTGAACTCTTGCTTGCATGTGGTCTCTGCTTCTTTTCATTCCATGATTTTTTTCCCTGTATGGCATTGTATACTTAAATTTGTTTTCTCCACGCACTTGTTTGCCAGGATGATGGAGCCATGGAATCTGATTCTGCAATTAATGCTAAGGGCACAGAAAATGAAGCAGCAGCCTCTAGAGACTCCGAAAGTGTTAATGAATCATGTAGTACTGAATGTCAGGAAGGAAAAACTCATGAAAGTGGTTATGCATCCATGAGCAATCCGAACATTGACAACCACCATGAAAAACCCGAAGGCTCTCTTCCTAAGGATTTAAGTGAACATCAAGTGGTTGATGAGACGGCACCTAATGAATTTCAGGAAGACCCAGAAACAGATGTTTTAGCATCTGATGATGAATCAGAAACCCTTTCAGATATCGATGATCTTGAGGTGTTTGCAATTGCCGTTACTTGATCTTTATGATCCCACCACTTTATGATTTTATAACTGTTCCTCTCTCTAGATTGGGGATTGGCTTTTTTCATTGGGCATAAATTCCTGGATAACGTCTGTTTAGGAAAAGTACTGTTTCTTACATAATTTTGAAAAATGCCCTCACACGGTACAAAGAAATCTCCAAATTTTATTAAAGAGTAACCCACATGTTTCTCTTAGTTCTCTACCTAAGATATGTCATGGCTGAAGTTTGCCTCAGTTGCTGAATGGGTTATCCTACAGGTAAATGGCTATATCCACAATGAGGAAGAGACGCGCCTAAAAACCATAATTTGGACAGAAATGAACAAGGAATATCTTGAGGTGGGCAGCAATGATTACGATGACTAGAATTTTCTTTTATGCATGTTATAGAATAATGAGTTCTGACGTGATATTTCTATAGGAACAAGCAGCTAAAGAGGCTGCTGCTGCAGCTGCTCGGGCAGCATATGAGGCTGATATTGCAAACTGTCATGGAGATGCTCTTGAACTTGCTAAAGCAACTGCTGCTGCTATTGCAAAGATGAAGAAGGTAAACCAAACTCAAATGTTTTGACTCTTAATTTCTCTTGAGACTTTCATATTGCTCATAGGAATGGTAGCTTTCACTTAATTATCTGGATCTCTGTTGGTGAGACAGAATGTTATAACTAGGAGTCAGAAAGGTGATGATACTTTGTTGTGTGTTTTGAGAGTGGTGAAAGTTCTTTGTATTTCTTTAGAACTGGTGCAAAGGTTAGCACCGTGGTTTTGTACTTGCATACAGGGTTGTCCAGGGCACTATGTTTTGGAAAATTCTGTCATAATCCAATAGGCTCTTTAGAACTAGAAAACATATCTGTTGGCTCGTCATAGTTGCAATGAAATGATGGACAGTGCTGGAGAGAGGGAGATCCACCGTAACAAAACATGACCCCGAGGGTTGCTCCTACTCTCTCCATCACCATCCATCAATTTAATGACAGCGATGACTCCAAAAGTCTCCGATTTTACTTAGTCCCTTGGCTAAGAGTGTATTGTTCCCTTTGAGAAATGTTTTGACTCTCTTTTGGCTTCAAGTAGTTTGTGCCATTCCTAATCTGGCATGATGCAGGATAAGCAACAGAAAAGGGCTGAAGAAGCCAGGAATGCAACTCCTGCTCAAACTGCAGCTGAAGCAACCCGCCAAATGCTGACTAAGAAGGTAATCCTGAGATTTTAAGTCATTATGTGAGGCTTGAGGAGTAAAAATTTCTTGGTTCTATTGTCTACTACTGGAAATGACCAAGTTGGATGTACCGAACATTGGGCACCCTAGAAATTGAGACAAAGCAGTAGTTTTTCCCCATGTATTCCTGTTGTTTGGGTTTGGACAAATCCCAAGTTTTATTTTTGCTGTACATATATGTAATTAAGAAATTCATAAATTCATACCTATGATTCCTTTCATTGATTTTGTATGGTGCATGAGATAGAATTATAATAGTCCTGCTACTTCTGCTTTGCAATTCTACCTTAGATGGATATTTTCCTCAGAGATACAATTGAAAACATGTATCAGAGACTACATATTTGCGGCTGTTTTCTCAATGCAGGAGCAAATGTATCTTCGAGATGAGGAAACTTTGGTTGATTTATTTTATGTCCATATTCCTAGGTGTTCACTTGCATTTCTCCTTTACCAAAACTTCCATTTTTTCCTGAATACTTAGTCTTAGTCCGGGTTGAATACTTATATTGCATGTTGTATTGCAGAAAATCAGTTCGAAAATCAACTATGAAGTGCTCAATAAACTCTTTGATGAAGAGACAGTATGTTAATGTCTCACTCTGCATTCTTGTGTTTCCTTGTTGCAGAATCTCTCTCTCTCTCTTTTGCTCTATATATATATATATATATATATATATATATATTACTTTTCTTTCTTTTAGTAGTGGTG